AGAAGTAATAAATAAATAACATTTTTTTCTCACGACGGAATCTCATTACGTAATATGAGGGATAAAAATGATATGGATTACATTTCTTCTGTTCTAAGAAAAGGCTCACAATAGGAACATGATCTACTTTAAAATAATATAATGTATGTATAAAGAATTAATTTGATATGAAAGTAAAATATTTTTGCTCTTTAAATATACAAGTAACATTTCTGTCGCCTTCTTAAAAGTCTTATTTTTATTTACTTCAAAGCTCATACATAAACGTTCGTACAATTTTCTTCTATCAAATAAATCTCAATATGTATTTTTAATGCTATTTCTTGATCCTGAAAGAACGATCATGTCGACATTTTAACTATATTCTACTAATCTTATTACGAACTATAAATTACGAGTACACAGACAGGTTTACGATGTAACCGACAGTATGATTGTAATGTAAGTATTGTACGTTTATTGAATACCGATGGTTCGATCGTGAGTTGTGTAACACTAAAGAGGTATTTACGTGTAAACAGAATGTTTTAGACATTTAGAAAATTCTATTGTTCTTAATGCTCCTGTATTTCTCGAAGGTTCTTCATAATCACATACTTCAATGATAGGCACTCACTGAACTCTGAATTCTCAATTCTGCCGTCGTGCGTCCAAACGTTATATGTATTTATACCAAGATTTAAACATAGTGCTATTCTCCTTTTAAACAACCTTTGATTTCGTTTTACTTTTAACAAAAATCATAAATACTAATGAGGTTTAATAATAATTGATGACAGCCTCAAGTTATTTTCACTTCGCATCCGTTATTAAAGCTGGTAGCGCCGATATATATCTAATTTATCATTAATCTATAATAATATATAGTATTTTTTGAGATGTAATAGACTAATTATTGCCCAAAACTGCTGGTAAATTACGAAATTTCCCTCCGAGGGTATAATATTGTGTTAAAATAATTTATATTATGTTAATCATACATCAGCGACACTTAGTATGTAGGACTTGACTTGAGACCGTACCCCACTTGTTGTATAATTTGAGAGATTTAAGGGAATGAAGTTAAAAGATTATTTTTATTCATTGATTTAGATAAAACATATTACTGTGCCTTTAACATTATATTAACAGTTAAATAAGTTTTCTATAGTGATTTCAGTCAAGTTGCTAATTTTCATGTAAAAGTTTGTGATCTCATGACGTCACCTTCAGCCCACGTGGATCCTTGTGACGTCACACGTGGGTGAAGTGACGTCATCATTCGAAGGGTTCATTTCTGTCGTCAATAATAATGAATATGGAGCTCACGATGTCGAACTACTTCAGTATATTTATTATTATAACAGTATGTTTGTTTGTTGATAGTCTTTATTAGAAGTAAATGTATGTGCTCATTGAGACGAAACTTCTCATCATTTAATGTATTCACCGTGCGGGTGTCGAGTCCATCGTTGCAGGGAGAGGCGCATCAACAGTGCCTGTGACTTGCGACCCAGGTGTAGGTTTAAGGCCTCGGCCTCGAATTTTGCGGGCAGCGGAGCGGCGGCGGCGGCGGCACGGAAACGCATACTGTTCTCCAAACTAGCGGGCAGCGGGCACCGCTGTATTCGAGGGTCGGTCCATTTGATTATACGCGTAAGATCCTGCCGCTCCCGCTGCCGCTCCGCTGCCCGTAAAATTCGAGGCCGAGGCCTAAGGGGTCCCTATCTAACGCGCGTTAAACGCTCACCTCCACTGTCCAAGCTCCTCTCTTTACCTAAACAAATTAATTTTATTCTGTCTTTCAGTCTTTATATAAAATAAATTAACTTTAATAGTTACGACAAATATTTAACCTGTTCGTCATAATGCGAGTGTGTTATTGAAGTACAAGATAATATTTGTAAGAGAAAGGATAACCTGCGAGTGTGGAATGGTATTACAAATAGTTGAATATGACCCAACAGGCCAACAACATGTTATTAATACATTATATATACGTAATATATATAATTATTTGGACTGTAATAGTAATTCCATAGATTTGTACATCTTCAATAGAAAGTTTAGGTAGTGATCTTTATCATATACTAGAAGACCTGGCGAACTTCGTATCGCTCTATAATCAAGAAATATCTATTACGTTTTTTTATTTATATTTTTGGAGTTTACCTGTAAGCCATAAATCTCGGTGTTTTGAAGTGCGACAGAATGATAGACATATTAGTTAGTTGTCAAATCTAATGTCAAAAAAAACGTTTGTATGGGAAATAGAAAAGGTCTGTTTTTATGGTTTTCCCAGTAATGAATCAATTTTTTTCAGCTTTTATACCTTCCCTGAACCTCCACTTACATTTCAAGACTAAGATAAGATAAATCCGTTTAGCCGTTCTCGAGTTTTAGCGAGACTAAGGAACAGCAATCCATTTTTATATATATAGAAAAAATAAGAAAAACGAGTTTATTAATCCTTTGAATAAATTTTAGAAATCTATTATTTGTGAATAAGTTGTAAATTTTATACAAGACTTATCAATATGTTTCCATGTGGCAAGATTCATATAACTTTTATTATATGATTTATTTTTGATTTTTGTTAATTCTGTCTTCATTAGAATAAATATACTTTCGTTAATTGATTATCGAACATTCTCATTTTTAATCGCTACCTGTCAGAATTGTACTCAGAAGGAAATGTATGAAATGTGTCTATATAATAATATATATACATATATATTCTCAAAAACCTAAACAATAGACAATCAATACTCTACTTTATCCGCACCTGCTGTCAGTAAACTTAATACTAGTTTTCACTGTCAAACGGATCGTTGTAAGTCTATAACGTGGGTGAATGAATGATACGTATAACGCCGCGTGCGCAGTCTGACGCTGCACTCGTAGTAAGGTTTCGTAAGTGTCGTAACCTAGCGACCACATTACTATGGTTGCGATACTAAACTGGTTTGTTTGGACGGATTTTTTATATATGAAACAAAAAATCTTAATACTGGATATTCCAATCGGGTCGAATGATTAAATAACAGATTTGCAATTAAATGGAATTAAATAGCATAATGAGATCTAAGGCTTTCGCGAGTATACATTTAAATGGATCTGATAGTTTTCGGGCATTATATTCGGTCTATTTTTGTGAAATACTATATACTCCCGACGTTTCGGTTACCTTTCAGCAACCGTGATCACAGACAGACGAGATGTAGCCGCCTGCAGCTTCGTATGGTCTTTAAATTCGGCTTATGATATATTAGTAATTCGATTTAAAAATATATATCACCTGTAGTGTGGGTTGCGCAATTTCATATAACATTAAGTATTAGGTACGACGTATTATAAGAAGGAATGTAGATATACTATTAATTATTATTATATGAACTATGTGTGCAAGGATATATTGAAAAATATTCACTGGTCCTTGAAAAAGCTATACATATGTACCTACATACATCGTTACATACAATTATTTTTATATAACAAAATAATGATTTCATTTAATTGCACTGAAATATCTTTGTACTATAATTAATAAGATATAAATATTATACATATTATGTTGATAAAACATATACATATATTTACGTAGTTTAAATAATTTTCTAACTTTATCTTGCTAGCTAGCCTTAAGACATATAAACTGGTTAGTTAGTTAGTATTTTACAGAACACTACCTTTCTCTTACAATACATACGGCTAACTAAATCCAAGCTGATGCAACTATTACAGAAATGCAGAGAGCATTCACGTACAGACTTCTGATAAACATCGCATACATTAGCTAGTGACGGGAGTGATGTATTACTTATCGATATTACCAGATGATTTTGATATATTTGACAGATATAAGTATTATACGAATGAATTGTAAGTATTATAAGTATGAACCGCCTTTATAGTTTGAAGAATTTTAATTCTGTATAGGGTTGTCGATATTATAGGATAGGGTTGTTGTATCTAGGGTTGTCGATATATTGATATTTTTAGCGTGGGTTTTATCGAAATTCTAATTTGAAAAAATTAAATGACAAATACATTTATTTTTTTTATGTAAAGAAGTTAAATATTTTAATTATTTTAATGGCTTTTTAAGTGAGTTCAATACATTTTTTTTGTTGTAACTTAATGCTGACAACCCTATCTCTGCACTTGATAGTAATATCATGTATTTGTATTGGTGCTCAATAATTGCTTTTTTTATTCAATGATCCGTTACAATCTGTTTTAGTTAACGGAACCCTATTTAATTATGGGTTCTAATTAATTATTAAATCAGTGAACAATCGTATAATAGATATTATATACAATAATATTAAATATTAATCAAATAATACATATAAATAAATATTCATCTTAAAAGAACATTGATATCAATCTTTTCATCTTAATAGTTTTTGTCTAAATTATATTCAAATCATAGGAAAGTAAAACAGCATGTGAAAATTACGGTGACGACTTTCGGTAATATTATTTATATATTTATATAATTCACAAACGATTTTGCAAAGAGAGGACGTTATAGGATTTTTATCAATGAAGAAAATTTGGATTTTGATTATTGATATCGTCGTGTAAAGCTAATAAGAGCATATGTTTCTTGATTTTATATATTATTAATATGCATACCATAAATTACTTATGGTTGACATCTAAAATATGAATAGATATAAATTTTCCTTTACGTATTACCTGAATCATTATTACTTTATATACACTAATGTTTGTTATCATACAATTTATTCATATACCAACGTAAATTTTAACAAATAAATAAGAATAAATAAATTTATATGTTTCAGAATATAATGCGGCTTCAAACACACTAGAAGAATTGGCGAAATACAAATGGGCGTTATGATAAAACATCTCTAGGAGGTAAGATATTCAATACATATAGAATACACAAACACGAACAGTGCGTTACATAAGTTACCGTTTACAGATAAATATATCGATGAAAATATTATAATTATCGAGGTACCAAGCTGCGGGTACCTCACTAACCGATGTCCAATGAAACATATGTGAAGAACGCTCAGAGCGATGTAACACCCAATGAGAAAGAAAAAGAAAAATTAAAAGAAAAAGAAAAATTAAAAGAAAAAGAAAAAGAGGGTAAACAGAGATCTGTGTCGTTTAACAGAGACGTTCACGTCAAACGTTTCGGTGAGTTTCGTCACGTGCGAACTATCAGTCTATTCGCTTGACAACTAATACTAAGACAGCGAGATGTTCCTATATAGACGATGTTTTAATTTAAATAACTTTAAATATTATGTAATAAATTATACAATAATAGTTTTCACTTCCAATTAATTTTATATTACGAAATGTGGATGATTACGAATTGATTTATTTAAATATATATTATCAAGCTACTGGACTGATGAAGTAAATGTGCTGAACTAGACTTAACCGACTAATGTAAAAAACTAAATGAACATCTCTTAACTAACTTACACTAATACATGTATAATAAATGCATGGAAAATCTGTCCGTGTGTCGACAGAATGTATATAATATAAATATTAGATAAGTATACATTATAATAGAATGAACAAAAATATAAAAATATACATGGAAGAAACTAATTATTTCCGGATTATACTGTTGTATTTCAAAAAACTACATACTCCCGACGTTTCACGCTCGTAGTTAGAAAAACTTCGTGAGTATGTAGATTGTAGTGTTAAAATAATAATATATGCGTAGTAATCTAAATAATATTAGTTTCATTAAAATGAATATTCGCGAAAGTCTTAGAAAATATATATTCAAGTATGATTTAAAATATTTAAACTATTATGACAGCTGTTATTTTAATACCGAAGTCCAATTAAGTAAACACATATACAGGCTGACTGGTGAATTACTATCGATATTTGAGGACGTGATATTTGACGATCATATATGATGAAATAAAAATTAATATAACATAAATATTAATAAACTTCTAAGTAAAGTTAACCAAAAGTTATGTAATTAATTACGCATCGTGTGAACACCCTACAGATTAGGTATACACTGACACTCACACATACGCGTGTCGTGACGTAGTGTTGTATCAGCACGCCGCCGCACGCGTCCACACTTGAACACTTGGAACGTGTCAACACTTTACTTATTTATACGGAAATTTTGTCAAAAATTAAGTACCTATTTTTTTTAACTTAATTCGAATGAGAATCATGTACCGAGTATTCTCCTTAAATATTGATAGTAATTCACCAGTCACCCTGTATATATGTGTGTGTTAATTTTGACCATACTAACACGGAGCTGTCCAGCATGTGTTCTGATCGTGACATAACTGACATTGAGAGATGTCCTTTGTAGTTACAAAAAAGTATAACACGAAAAATCACTTGAGGATCACTTTAAGGATGAACTATTGATAATAATTGACATTGGATTTCACGGAACATCGATTAACTTATAAAATATATAAAACAAATTGAACAGAATATGATTATATATGTTTTGTATTGATAAATTTGATAATAGAAACGAAGATATATGGCTATCAAATCGAGACAAAACTACGACGTTTCGTTGTGAAGTTTTGTATTTATATAAATAAAGTTCTCAATATACATTTAGTTCTAAATATTCTAAATAATATTTCAAAAATTTTTAAAAATATACTGTTTTTATTATGCCAAAATATACCAAATAACAGAGCTAATATAGAAATACTAGCTGCGCCCCACGGTGTTACCCGCGGATTTCTGGGATTTCCGAGATTTCTGGGATGCAAAGTAGCCTATGTGTTATTCCTGGACGTCAGCTTCCTGTATAATTTTTTTATCAAAATCGGTTCAGCCGTTTGAGCGTGAAGAAGTAACAAACATACACACTCACAAACTTTCGCAATTATAATATTAGTAGGATAAATGTATCTGTTATCAAAGATTTGAATCTGGTACAATAACCTTTAGTATGGACAGGATATATACCAGAGAAACCGTATCCAATACACTTTTACTTTCATCCTCATTGACTTACAAATATCTTTATTTTTTAATAATATTATAACATTCTTATATAATTTCTTATTAATACATATGCAGCGTTAATTAATTTATATTGTATTAAATTTCTATTTATTAATTTATTTAATATTTTTAATAGACAAGGAAAGTCAGGGTAGAGTATATTGCGTATACCGAGAGTGAATTTGTCTCTGATATTTCAGTAGCTAAGTAAATATTACGAAACTACTTACGAAACTCAAACAAAACTTAACTACAGATCGTGATTTGTAATTTTAGTTCTGGAACCACTGAATTTGCATATTTGTATGACAGTCACGGTAAATATACATAATTCTTGATGTTATTATACCAAAGATATATAAGATATGACAAACAACATTATGTCTCGATTGTAAATATACATAAACTATGTTGAAACTACATATATTACTATTTCTATTATATTTTTCTTGCTTAACTCCATAAAAACTATCCTTAAAAGCTGTATATAAGTAGAATTTAATAGGTAGCAACCCTTGATAAGTGAAATGAAGCAATACTCAAGAGTGAGTGTAACGAGGCTGTACACTTAAATCTGTCAGGTTACCAGCAATTACTTGTTATGTAAGTGTGTTCACATCAATCGATAGCCGTTGACATCATTTACTTGCAATACGTTACTTAAAATTTACATTAACACACGAATACGCTAAAATATACCAAAATATGTAGGGCAGTCGAATTCTTTACGACAAGTAAATACGGTTTATTTTGCGTAAAGAATGTAAGGAAGATTTAATATAAGTATTTTTTCATATCGCTATATAAGTTTTGATGATAGTAAATAAATGTATTAATCATAAAAAACATATTTATATTTAACATAAAGACGAGTCAATAGTACTGACTACTGATTTGAATTGTCAATTACTTGTCTATGTGATAAAGAGACCTTGTATCAATAGTTTTTATATAATGCTTACACATCATATGAAAGATAATTAATCAATAAAATCCTACTTAAACGTCAAATATAAAAGCGGATCAAGGACAACTCCCTACGGCGCTCATTGCATTAAGTCAAGTTGTCTGTAAGATTTCTTTATAGAGCTACTCGGTTGCCAAAAAAGGTGTGACATTATTGTACATACCAAATATATACTGTCTATATATAAGACATTGACCTCGTCATCGTCATCAGTATATCAGAGCCCACTGCTGAGCAAAGGCCTCTTTCTCACATGAAGAAGGTTTGAGCATTAATCACCACGCTTGCTCAAGACGGGTTGGTGATTTCAAAGTTATAATTATAAAATTATAAGTCCAGGTTTCCTCACGCTGTTATCCTTCACCGTCTGTCAGTGGTGTCTAAATACTCGTATAAAGTACATATGACTGAGCAAAATCACATGGGTACTTGCCAGGATCGAACCCGCGCCCTCATGCACGAGAGGCGGGCCCTTTAACCACTAGCCCCCCACCCACCACTGACAAGACATTGACCTATTACAACCATTTATAGAGACTGCACTGTCGAAAGCATCGTCTAAATTAGCGTGATTCTGAATTAATTTATTACATTTTAATGTCTCGTTAATGTCCAAAAAACCTTGTCATCAAAATAGATTAGTTAGTTGGTTGTGTAATGATAATTTAAATCAGTATCAAGTAGATTATGCTGGACATTCTGTATAACAAATTGGTCATCTTCAATCAATCTGAACATTATTGGATGAGGCTGTTTTTATAAGGATTTTGTAATGTTATTAGTTACGTGGGTACCTAAGATCGGTCGTCAAACAGTTTTCTGTTATTAAAATCATACAAGATGTATTAGGGAATCTTTTTACATACATTTTCATTGGTTTTATTCGTGAATATATGCATCTTCAGCCACGTCATTGATTCAAAATATCTATAACAAAATATATACGAAATATTTTATTTAACTCGTCAACAGTCCTATGGGAATCTTCAAACCAAATATAAAACTATAGCTTAAAAGTAATAAAATAGTGAAATTATGTTTAAAAAATTCGAGCTTATATTTAAATTAGAACATTTTCAATAAGAACTTCAACATATTCCGGAGGTCACAGGTTTGAGTTCTGCTCGTTTAATGAATTTTTCATTATAATTTATCAATAAAAAAAATCTTTTTTATATGTATATATAGACTAATATGTTAATTTGTATTCAATATCCTAAATAAATAATATATCATATTATTATTTTTTTGTAGCAATTTTCTTTGTAACAACGTCTGTCAAATTAAATTGTTAACAAATTAATTGCTGTCTTGTAAGAAGTATTTATTATTTGACAAACATCTATTGATATAAAGATTGTCTGCTTTTTGTTCCATTAGAAAGAATCTCATTGACTAATTGACTCATACAATAACTGCATATTTTTTTGGTTCATAATAACAGAATGATAGATCATCGTTGATATCTGATATGTAGAAGTACAGTTTCTTGCTAAGATTTCCTTATTTATGATTTCCTGCTAAGTCTCCGAATGCGAAGTGTCTGATAGGGCGAAGTGGAAAAAGAAGGTAGACCTCACCACAATATGGGAATAAATAATACCCAGGAGAGAGAGAGATCTCATAGTTTGATTGACTCATACAATAACTTCTCTTCTTCCACCTAGCTTTAGCCAGGGTCTGCCTTACATGTTGTGGATAGTTATTAGTTTTGGCTAATTGTTTTTTACGACCGGCCGCCTGCCTGACATCAACTCTCTTTGGGAATGCATTAATCAGTGATGTGTAAATACGGTTAGAAAGTACATATGACTCGGAAAAATCACATTGATACTTGCTAGGATCGAACCCGCAGCCTCATACATGAGAGGCGGGCCTGTTTAACCACTAGGCCACCACTGACTCACAATAACTGCTAATTTTTTTAGTTCTGATAGATCTTTGTCTATCTTTGATATGCCGAAGTACAGTTTCTTGATGTCTTATCTCTATCATAATACATATTATATTTAATGTTGACGACATCCTGACGTATTAGTATGGTGATTTTAATTTGAATAAATGCTTAATATACCGAATACAAATCTCGTTTGTCTGGTTATCTATGTTGTTCGTTTGATTGTATCACGATGGTACCGTTATCACAGATTGTCATACATAAAGTTTATCATCACACATAATTATATATTTATAAAATTCTTCT